CTTCAGCCACTCGTTCTACACAAAACCATCGAAAATGAGTAAGACGTTCCAAGATTCTTTCAAATACTAATGAGACATTCAAAATTCTTTTTGTTCTTTTCTTTTTTGGTGTTAATTGACTCTATTTTTTTTTTTTTTCTTAAGTTGGTTGGACCATGTGCTTTAGCATTAATTAACATTTTTAGTAATACATAACCAGGTTTTAAGCAGAAAGTATTATTTAAACTAATCAGTGTTTATATCAATTTCATAGAAATTGAGGCAATCGGTCTCCCGCTTGCAATCATAGGCGGTCTCACTTCCCTTCTCGTCTATCTTTCTCCACTGTAAGTATTTATATATATATATATAATATATATAATATAAATGTATATTATTCAATTCATGCTAGAGCAAATAGTTTGAAACTAAATTTTGCTTGTTTATCTTGTTTAGTATTACTTTTGGGCAAGTTTATTTTGGCCGGCGTACCCCAGAGGTTGATCCATTACCATACGTAGTAACATTTTCATCTACTGTGTTGTGGATCTATTATGGCGTAATCGATGATCATAATGTAGCCATATTGACCATTAATTCGGTTGGAAGTATACTCGAGTTAGTATATATCCTTCTATACCTATACAATGCGCCTCGTAAATCATTGGTAAGNTTTTTTTTTTTTTTCGGATAAAAAATATGTTGGTAATTTGTTGCCGTTGGGAAAAATTTCTGTTGGCAATCTCTTGAGAAAAAATATCCGTTGGGAAAAAAATATTCGTTGGGAAAATTCCGTTGGCAATCCGTTGGGAAAAATCCGTTAGAAAATTTTTATTGGTAATCCGTTGGGAAAATATTCTGTTGATAATACGTTGGGAAAAAATATCCGTTGGCAATCTGTTAGAAAAATATCTGTTGGTAATCCGTTGGGAAAAAATATCCGTTGACAACCCGTTGGGAAAATTCCGTTGGTAATCCGTTGAGAAAAAGCCGTTGGCATATTCGTAACTAATATGTTGGCTTTCTGTTACTAATTTGCCAACAGAATGATTTAGCAACTACATTCTCTGTTGAGAATCCTTTGACAATCTCATTAAGCATTTCCGTTGCAAATTTGTTGGTAATCCGTTGGGAATTTTTCAATGGATTGTATTTTATGTTGGCAAAAATTAGTAACAAGCCATATAGCAACAAGAAAATCCGTTTGTAAGTTGTTGGCATTCCGTTGGGAAATTTGATTACCAACGGATTATTTCGTTGGTAAAACTTGGCATTACTAGTTGATGTTTAGTTGTAATTATAAGTTTTTTGGTGTATATTATTTATCGTTCTAAAAAAAATAAAAAAATAAAAAAAAAAATAAACTATAAGATCGTTTGAAGTTTTTTTATGTAATTAAGTTCGTGATTTAGAAGGACCCATTACCCATTATATTTTGAAGATGAACAAGACAATTAGACACGTAAAAGCTGAATAAATAAATAAATAAACAATAAAGCTCCAGGTAATTAACATGGGCCCTGGAATCTCTATATTGCTTTAATTTGGTGTTTCGTTTGATTGTTGATAACAGATTAGTTTTATATTAGTCTAAATTTTAATACATTATACAACATTAAGTATCCCTTCAATGTGAAACTTCAAAGTTGCAAAGGATTAGAGTTGAAATATCATACAATTTTGCACACATAAGTACGTGACGTCTCTCTTTTCAATGATCAAATTATAAAAAATGTAACACTAAGAGAACTGATTTTTGTATGTAAAACTATTATCAATGAATCATAACATTTATGTACATAAAATAAAAAACGAGTACACAAATTGAAGGGAAAAAAACTGCCATTATTGCAAAATTGAATAAACCTGGACAAGATACTCAGTAATATTTTTTATTCCAGTTTTTGTCATATGTTCTTCGTAAACTTAACATATGCCCTTTAAAAATCTAACCCCTTCTAATTAACATGATTTAGTTCACAAAAAAAAAGTATTAATCCTGGATAAATTAATAAAACTACATTCCTTAAACCGAAATCAAACACAATTTGATCTTTAACAAAAGGTGACAAACATAGTAACTGCATAGCATGTATTGATCATCTCTTGTTCATCTGAAATTAACAAAAGGTGATACATGAACGATACTATTATTTAGGACAACAAAATAATATTTCACCCTGAAAATTCATAAATAAATATATGAGTGTTTTATTCCAATGTAAGAGTGTCATGAATGCAAGGTAGTTTACTTGAATTAATGGTGTGAAATAAAATGACATCCTCATATTGTTTTACAACAAATATATTGCTTTCAACGTCACTTTCAATTTTAACTTTCAATTTTAACTTTTATCACATGGCCTTAGAGTCTGAAGTGAACATTTGACCATACCATTGCCAATTTAACAATGTGTATATAGTTATTTGTTTCTACCTGTTGAATTCAAACAACCATTGGTGTTATGTATATTTGACCATACCCATTGCTAATTTAACAATTTTTATATAGCTATTTTTTTTTCTACCTTTTGAATTCAAACAATCATGGGTGTTATGTAGATTTTAGATTGGAGTAGAGTAAAAAACATAAATACAATTAAAAATTGGGCTAAAATTCAAAATTCAAACAATCATGGGTGTTATGTAGATTTTAGATTGGAGTAGAGTAAAAAACATAAATATAATTAAAAATATAAAATTCAAAATTGGTACTATAATCTGGTATAATTCTAATTTTTACCCTGTCACTGACCACTTTCAAACTCGGTTCAATAGTGAATAAATAAATTTTGGTCCCCTTTTTAACCGCACCTTAGATAAAAACTTGATGTAGCGTGACATGGCAATTTTTTTATTTGACATGGCGTGACGTGACGACTTCATTTGTATTTAATAATTTCAATTATGCAAGGTGGCAAAAAAGTTGTGGTAGGTCACTCCCAAGTGGAAACCAAAAAATAAAAATAAAAAAATAATAACAAACAAACCATCTTGTTCCCGTTCTACACTCATTCTGCCAACGCCCAATTTTCACTCGTTCCCGCCGGACCAAAGTGGGCTTCAACCACTCGTTCTACACAACGTCCGACACACTCATCGGACTCGCCCCAGCCCCACAGTTGAGTCTCGTCGCTCCCTCACAATATCCAGTTCCACCATCCCCGCCAACGCCTCCAACGCCCACTCGCCTGTGCCGCTGCGAAAAAGGTCTCCGCCTTCGAGAGTTTGTTCTCCTCGATTCCCCTCCTATCCATTCCTCTAAAGACATTGATTCTATCTTTCTCTAGTCGGGTCGGGTCGCAGAGTGCCCGACTAGTTAGGCAACCGACGAGTGGGTTGAGGGTGGCCAAGCGAGTGGGCTGAGGTGATAGGCATCAAACTGAGCAAAGGAGACGGCGGAATATGTGCACGGCGGCAGTGAACATGGTTGTATTTGTTGGAAGAAATGGGTCACCGGAAAATTACACCGGTTCCGGAGACGGTGGACATCGTAGGGTGCGCGGCGGTATGAGGAGTCCAGAGATGTCCTCAGATTTCGGCGGGTTGTCGTGAATTGCCAAAAAATTGAAGAAGAATATTCCTGATCTAAAAACTTTGACCAGAGCAATTGACGGTCTTACCAGTGGAATTTTCACTGGAAATTTTAGGAGGTGAAAGAGGACGATAAGAACTTCAAGTTGATGTAAAAAACTTTTGGATCTGTGATGGACGACCGATGATTGGAGAATGACGGCGGCGATGAGCGGAAGCGGACGACAGAGGCGGATGAGTGAACACGGTGTGAAATAGGGTTGGGGATTCCAAGGTCTCGTTTTTTAAAATTTAATAAGTTCTATAGATTATTTTGTAATTTCAAAAGTTTTAATTAATTGCAACTAAGTCATAGAGTTGATGTAGATCATTTTATTTTGAAATCAACATTTTTTAATCCCGCCACATAAATCACAATCATGCCACGACATATTTTTATCTAGGGTGCGGATAAAAAGAGACCAAAATTGATTAAACTATCAAATTATTGAACCTAATTTGAAAGTGATCAATAACGGGGTAAAAATTAAACTTTGACCAATTTATAGTACCAATTTTAAATTTTGACCTTACAAACTGTATTAATTGAGTAACAGGAAGTAATTTGTAAAAGCAAGAGACTTGAGTGCAACAATTGGGCTTTATAAATATTGATGTCCTGGCTAGATAAATGGCCCATATTTGTTCTGTTGTCTGATCCGAAATGATTAAATTTTTACATGTATATACATTTTGGAATTTTAGAATCAGAAAATACAATTATTTAAAATTAAGATATATATTTGTATTGGTTCTAAGGATCAATATTTCCTGGATTCCAAACAATTCAACAAAACTTTTAAACTAAACACTAAAAATTGGTAATTATAACACGGAGAAATTCCATTATAAGATTCAACCTTTTGAAATTGTATCAAGTTAAAGTCTGAATTATTCTTTCAATAAAAGTTTTATATTTTATGTTATTCTCTATTTAATATTCGCTTTTTTTTGTTAACTTTTCATTGTAAGGTCGAACTAACTTTACTTTTTGACATAAATATGTGAGCTAATTATATTTATTTTATTATATAGTTATATGAACAAAAATATATATATGTTTTTTGGTAATTTATATTTTACATACTTATAATAAAAAATAATAAATATTTTAAGTAAAATTACCCTAATAAGACTATCTATTTTTACTTGATTGTTGTAATTTTTAATTTCTCATCTTGTGCGTTGTAATTTTTAATTTTATCTTGTGGGTTATGATTTTTAATTTTTAGTGAATATTTATTTCTTCAATTTGTTATGTATATGATTATAACTTTATAATTAATTTTATTACATAAAGTTCAAATTGAATTTAAAATATTAATGTGGTTTATTTTATAAAATTGTAAAATATGTGGTTAATATTGAAAAATTGTAAAAGTTGATGTAAAAGAGAATACTCTTTTAAGTTTGGAATTAGTTTTGGGTTGTAAACCACTGTACAATGTGACAATTGCAAAATAAGTTTGAAAATAAGTTTTACGTGGGCACCAGACCTAACAAAATTAACACTTAAACCCGAAATATTATTGCGATGGGATTGGACCCTTGAGGGTAAACAGAGAAGGGAATGGGAGGTGGAAAATGGTAGTGGTGATTGTTTTTGTTTACTGACTGAAAAAAAAAATAAAAAAATGTGGAGATAACTGAAGTTAGTGGTCATAGTGATGCCCCAGTCTTATCCTCAAATGTAAGAATGAATTAAAAATAAGAATGGCGATGGCCACAAAAGCAGACATTCAGAAACATGGCGAGCATGGTGGTGGTGCAGCCCATGAAACCATCTTCCGCCGTCATTTCGTCCTCATTCTCCGACTTCAATGGCACAAGAATAACTACCTCACTCCAGGTACATATGCACATAACCTGTTTGTTAATATGCCCCAACAGAATACATATAACATTTATTTTGTGCGTGCTTGCGTGCGTGAAGGGTTGTGTGCACTTGGATTGAACTTGAAGTAGCAATACAATCCCTTTACCTGTGTGGTTTTGAACTTGCTGCAGTCTGCATGTTACTGAGTCTGTGTGTGTGTGTGTGTGTGTGTGTGTGTATTGGTGGCAATGTTGATATTTCGACTTATGAGCTTATTTGGAATACTGAGGGGGTGTCCACTTGATTAAGCTTGTGAACCCAACTCAACTATTGTTTTATTTTACCAGGCTGAAATGAATTTAGTTTTCCTTGTAACTGATTAACTCAAGCTCAATCTACTAGTAATGTAAGTTGATTGCTGTAACTGGAAAGTTCAGTATGTATACTGGGAATTGGGAAAGGATGGATGCTGGCTCTGAGGATTTTTCATTATCTTTTTCTTTTCCTTGTTTGTTGACAGTGTAAGAGGAAATCATGGCAGCCGAAAGGAGCATTGCGTGTTACAGCTTCGAGTTCCAAGAACATTCTCATAATGGGAGGGACCCGATTCATTGGCCTATTTTTATCCAGACTTCTCGTGAAAGAAGGCCATCAGGTTCGATATCTTTTATTGTCAGTTACAAACCTCCATTTTTTTTATATTTTTTTTGCCTAAAAAAATTGTGAGTAATTAGATAAGTGCAGGTCACCCTGTTCACCCGAGGAAAAGCCCCCATTGCCCAGCAATTGCCCGGTGAATTGGACTCCGATTTTTCTGATTTTGCATCCAAAGTAAGTCGATTTTCTTGTGGGCTTCTAGAAATCCTCTTTGTGGTCTGACAAAGCAACTTGTGGTCCACTTTATGTTCTCACTAAATGGAAAACTTCAAAGTTGAAACTAAGAAATTCCCCTCTGGGAGGAAAATTGTTCTCTTACGCAGAACCGAAAATTTGGTTTCAGTTCCCTCTACTATTTTTCAAGTTCTTCTTAGGATTTTTATGTTTTTGAGGGTTTTATATATTTCTTATCCAGTTTTCTATTGTTCAATTTTTAGTTGTTGTTTCTAGAGTTTTCCTTCATTTTGGCATTTTTATTTTTCTCTTATTTTCAATTGTAGATATGTTGATCCTAGACTATGTTACAGGAGTGCCTCTTTTCTTTTTGTAGATCTTGCACTTGAAGGGAGACAGGAAGGACTTTGAATTTGTTAAGAGCAGTCTCTCTGCAGAAGGATTTGATGTTGTTTATGACATAAATGGTGTGTGTATCGTCCACACTTTCACACATACACATTATGCAATATATTGGTTTTTTCATCTGAAAATCATAATTGCATGTAATTAGTTATTTTGATTATATTATCTCCTCAGGACGTGAAGCGGATGAAGTTGAACCAATATTGGATGCTTTACCAAATCTTGAACAGTAAGTTTTTTCACCCATTATGGCTGATGTGGGTTTCATCACAAACTCTGGGAAGCAAAGACAGATATCATGATGTGGTTCTGTTGGTTACCAAATGACCTGAAAATGCTATTAATATGATTCAAAAGTGCAAATTGATAGACTGTAGAGGACTTAATGGGAGGTTTTAATTTACCCCTAAAGCCTTGATGGAAAACTTACTGATAGTAAACAGTAAAACACGCCGTTATACATAACAAAGGCATAAGGCCTTATTTACTTGGGATTTTTATTTATTTTTTTTGTCTCAACCCTTCATTTACCCAGTTTAACTGAATTCCAGGTATATATATTGCTCTTCAGCAGGAGTTTACCTCAAATCTGATTATCTCCCACATTTTGAGGTCAGCATGAATACATCCCCTTTCCCCCAAAACCAAAACTCAAATTTGCCTATTCCTTTTTCCTTTTTCTTATTTTTAGGGACTATTTTGGCTGTATAATTTGAAATGATGCTTCAGAGTTTTAGGATAACCTTTTCTTCGAGAAAAAGATAACTTCCAAACTCTGCTTTTTATTGAAAATAAAACAGTTATTGCTCATTAATACTTTTCTCTTAGTTGAAGAATATTGGTTTGCTTAACCATCATCTGGTTTTGTCCTTGTTGGAAAAAAGACTGATGCAGTTGATCCCAAGAGCCGACATAAAGGCAAACTTGAGACTGAGAGTTTGTTGGCCTCAAGAGACGTGAACTGGACTTCTATTAGGCCAGTCTACATATATGGCCCACTTAACTACAATCCTGTCGAGGAGTGGTTCTTCCACCGTTTGAAAGTGGGCCGTCCTATTCCGATTCCCAACTCAGGCATGCAAGTGACTCAGCTTGGTCACGTAAAGGTCAGTGGAAGAAGCTGTTGGAATACGCATTATTTTGAGTAAAACCAAATATATATTTGAAAGGATAAATAAGGATGAATTTNAGAATAAACAAATAATAAAATTGACCTTGTAAAATTGCAAAGTATCCCTAAGTCTTAAGATCACTGTTTTTTCTTTTATCTTCTTTTTTGTTTTTGAAATTCCTTACTATACATTGTATTTTATTATATCTTCAAACTTCAAAGCAGCAAAATAAAAACAAGATTCTTAAAACAATTGATGTTGATCCCAGTGAACTTAACTGCACTAACACTACTGTTAAAATTGCAGGACCTAGCGACCGCTTTTGTTAATGTTCTTGGTAATGAGAAAGCGAGCAAGGAAGTATTTAACATCTCTGGAGAGAAATATGTCACCTTTGACGGTTTAGCTAGGGCTTGTGCTAAGGTAATCATTAATAAAAGTTCAATTCTAAAACGAGTTAGTGTCTTAATTTAATTTAAAATAAACGTGGTTATTGTCATCAGGCTGGTGGCTTCCCGGAGCCCGAAATTATTCATTACAATCCCAAGAAGTTTGATTTTGGTAAAAAGAAACCATTTCCTTTCCGGGACCAGGTAAATACGCTTTGCACCATATTTGTCAAATGAAATTCAAAACTATCAATTAAAACAGAATGATACTAATGAATTACTTTTCAATTTACTGAAATTCCATTCATGGGATCCTTTTCCATTTTGTAACTAGGAGATGCTATTTAGTTTTTACATGTATAAATTTGTGTGGATGTTCTGAACTCCTTTTATTTTTCTGTTTCTAATCATTTTATGACGAATGCAGCATTTCTTTGCATCGGTTGACAAGGCAAAGAGCGTGCTCGGTTGGAAACCAGAGTTCGATCTTGTGGAAGGCCTTACAGATTCTTATAACCTAGACTTTGGCAGGGGAACATTCCGCAAAGAAGCGGACTTCTCAACGGATGACATTATTCTTGGAAAGAGCCTCGTTCTACAGAGCTAGTCCGATTGTGTGATCTTTCTTCTGTTTATTTTCAACATTGTTATATAATTAATTCGGGGTCAATTTTCCAGAGGGGGGAAAATGTATGCGTTTATAGTTTTGTAAGTTATCAAACATCTCCAAGTGGAACTTGGATAGTTCAGTTGCAATGTCACATGGCAAGAAAAGGCTTATGGTTTAATAATAAAAATATTGAAAATAATATTATAAAAATAAATATTGTGTTAATTAATTTATAATATTGTAAAAATAAATATTGTGTTAATATGAAAATTAATTTTGTAAATTAAGTATTTGGCAACATGAATATGGTTTATTCTTTTTTATTTTTTTATTTTTATTAGTCATACAATTGAAGAAATTTTATATAAAGAATAAAATTATGTTGGAAATTTTTATTTGGTGGCTTTGATAAATTTCAATTGGGGTGGAAAATTCAATTGGAAGAATTGCTAAATTGCTAAATGAGTCGTACATATTTTTTTTTCTCATTTTTTACCTTCATTATATTGAAAATTTTGATAGTGATTTTAAAGATTATTTATACTAAATAATAATTATAAATTATATTATTTATGTTAGATTAATAAAAATTAGATATTATTTAAGATAAAAGATAATTAGAAATCATATTATTGTAATTAAATAAAACATAGCAAAAGACATGATCCAATTTATTGAAAACAAAATTGTCATTATGTTTACAATAGTACTAACTCGTCTACAACTCTTAAAAATAAGTATAATATGATAATTTTTATATATCATTCCAAATGCTATATGAAATAATATGAAATAAAAAAAACTCTTAAAAATAAGTATAATATGATAATTTTTATATATCATTCCAAATGCCATATGAAATAATATGAATTAAAAAAACTCAATCTAGTCTATTTTTTAGTATTGTCTATTTTTTAGAAAGAATATTTAATAATTTATTTATTAATTTAATTTTGGCAATCCATAAATAATGAAATCTATATATTTATGCAAATAACATCTTCATAAAAATTATGTCAAATTTAAGTTGTTGACATCCGAGCTGAACCGGGTGGGCCCAGAATTAGATACGATCACTAAATAAAGAAATAGACGAGTTGAGTACTCGGGTCGAGGGATTGCGAGCGAATATAAACCCCTGAAGCAGAAACAACTGGGTGTCGAGCAATAACCAGACAGGACGCCCAAGTTGGATAACCATAAGTGCAAGCCCGACAAAGAAATTATCAATCAACAGCGCAAGGCTTGGACAAAATGAGAGGAGTTAATACAGAAGACCCGAACCAAGCCGCCGAAGACCCGAACCAAGTGCACTACGGCGGCGAAAGATATTAAATTAATAGCAACTTGTAGCTAAATGATTATAAGATGGGACACGACCCTTAAAAGTCTGCATGTCTACGTCCCATAGCCTTAGCAAATATTGTTAGTTGTAAACTTCCTAACATTAATAACATTAAAACATATCTTCAGTGAGGACATTCTTGGCAATTCAAAGTTTTTAAGAAACTACAAGTTTTTAAGAGAGTAATAGATTATGATTAATATATTCTTTTTTTGTTTACTTTTACAATATTCCATTTTTGTACCATCAAAGCCAGGCATCTCTCCCTATCCTTGAAATCTCAAATCATTGACAGAAAAAGTCGAATGTAACTCGTGGAGTTGCATAATCCGCGGAAAGAATCTTGGAGGCTATTATGGCATTGGCTGCATCGGTGTAGTGGACCCCATCCCAGCTCACAAACTTTGCTGCTTCATCACATACTTGATAACCCGGGAACCCGCACGAAACTTTCCTATCATAGTTATAAGGTGGTCCACCCGAGCCACAACACGCCATCAATGGAGTCGAGAAACCTAGGGATGGTTTTGAGATGAGATAGATAATCAATGGTACAACTACATTACGAATCACATGATATTTACTTTTCCTTCATTGGGGGTTTAATTATGAGCTTACCATAGTTGGTGGAGTTTGCAATCAAATCTAGCTTAATGGCATAAACATCCACATATACTATGGTTGAGTCCTTCATCTCGGTTCTTAAACCTTCACACGCACGGCGTAGACCTTCGTTGAACAACTTTGCTGCATCATTGTAGCTTTTTATACAGCCGTATGAGTCGAGGCCCTTACTGTTTACCAAACTTAGTTTTTGGGGCAGACAGCCCAAAGGCCCAGTGTTGTGGACCCAGAATTTCCTGCCTCCTCCATCATATATTTCCTGCATATATATTCATGAAACACAAATATTAATGTCTGAGGAAAGATTTTCGAAAAACAACCCTCATTGTTCTATTAGCAGAAGTATCACTAGCCAAAAAACGCGAAATGAATCAATGGCATCTATAGATCATAGGTACACATCATCAAGGATCAATGCTAGGATAAGTGTGTCATATTTTAAACTTGCTTTTATATGTGGGATTGTGTTTCAGCTGTGGAAAAAAAAAAAAAAATTCGAATGAGCTGACCTTCACAGCATTCTCAATTTCTGCTAATATTGAAGGAATTCTTTTGACCACTTGCACATAGGATAGGCCTTTAGTGAAGGAATCAGCTATGTCATTTTGTCCAATATCAATCATGTAAAGAGCATCTTGGAACCTGTCGGGACTTATTGGTCCTACCAAATGGGTGATACCTACACGCATGTAGCACAAATATCGAATCACATCAAAGTTAAATAAAGCTCTAAGACAAAAGGGATCACATTAATCTCTAAAATTATGAAACTCCCTCTCCAGTTTCTATTTTATTCGAACAAAACTCGTGAAGAAACAAAATATATGAGTACCTGTGGCGCCAGCAAGCTCAGTCGAGCGTTCCTTGAAATGCTTGAACTGCATAACTTGAATATTCAGTGCAAAGGGGACATACTTAGGCAGCGTGGCAGACCCTACTATGGCAAAGTTGGCTCCATTTGAGAAGTTAGAACCTAACGAGTCGAGATACGGTCTAACGAAGCTCGTGTTGAGACTCTGGCCTGCAAAATTTAGCAAGATAATTTAACTCACTAGTTACTTGTACGAAGTACGCCCACAGCAATTTCAGGACAAAATTGTTAATTACTACGTTTCTAATATTTTTCTTTTTGTTTTTAATATATATATATATATATATATATATATATATTTGGATTCCAAAATTGCCTGAGAGTACAGAGTCGGGTTCTTCCATATGCTTTGACAAATTTTAAGTAAACGAAAACATGAATGACATGCATATTAATATTTCTATAAGAATAAGTGTTAGTTTACAGAATAGAAGGATCGATTATCATCAAAATGAAGAACACTCAGAGAGAAAAATGAAGGATCGATTATCATCAAAATGAAGAACACTCAGAGAGAAAAATGAAGGATCGATTATCATCAAAATGAAGAACACTCAGAGAGAAAAATGAAAGATAACGCCATTGATGGCGTGTTGTGGGATCAACTTGGGGGATCAATAAGACAATAACCCAAATAAATAAATAAAACAAATCAACAAAATATAATCCCAAATCACTGAACCGAAATCGCTGAACGGAGTAACATTTTGAAATGCCAAATAATCATTCATATAATTTTCTGCTACTATTACACAACATATCTCATAAAGTATTATTATTTTTATTTATATTCTATTTTAAAATATAGCATTTGAATTTAAAAAGTGCGTAAATATATTAAAAGAATACAATTGTGGAACTAATAATGAAAATCAAAATCAAAATCAAAATCAAAAACCAAGCTTGCTACCGTAATACTTGCGCGCCATTGAGTCAAAAATACCAAAAAAAAAAAGGACGGAACAAAAAGAAAAAGGAAAACAGGCACACTTACATAGAAAATCGATGATGAGGCGCCCATCTGAGAGGCGGTCCGCTGACCGGCCGAAAAAGGCCCGGCCATTGGGAAACTTGATTGGAAAACCAAGGCCGGCGACGAGACCGCCGGTGTCGGAGTTGGAATCTCCGAAGTTGAAGATGACCGGCGGGTTTTTGCAATTGCAGTAAGCTAATTGCGGATTGTAGAGAATAATGGCAATGAGGTAAAGTAAAGGAGAAAAGGAATATTGTGAAGCAGACATCATAGTTAAAGTTGAAGACCTTGAGTGAAATTAAGCTCAGCCTTTGCTTTTTGGCCTTTTCAAGTGGAAATTATGTTTGTTTTTCGCGTGGTACAAATGACTTGATGGGGGTAGACATTGATGTCCGATTCTACTTTTTCATTTTTTTATGAATTTTAATTTGAAAAGAAATCTTGTAAAATATACAAAATAAAGACATTGTATCATCCAATAATTTATATAATACAATTATACAAAGGGTTTTTCACACTAAATTCTAAAACCCCTTTTCAACTTTTCTTTCAGCTTTTTNTTAATTATCTAAAAATAAAAAAATATATAAATGCATTAAAAATGTCACATCTCACTACCAACTTTCTTTAATTTTTTATTATTTTCCTTTCTCTTCTTTCACCTAAACTCGCTCTTCGACCCTTCCCTTTCCCCTTGTCAGTTTTTTATTATTATTATTATTATTATTTTGCAGGTTCAGCTTTTCGGCGAACACTTGTCTGGATATTTTCGGCGACAAAAACTCCGACAAAAGACGAATAAACTTCAACGAAGGACGGACGACCCTCTTCAGCAAAATTTCATATTTCTCGAGCAAAATTTGGCCGTTTTCTGGCTAAAAATGTAGTTGGTAAGCTATGTATATAATGAGGACTAAGAAGTCCGAAACTCGTTTGTTATTCATAATTTTTACCCTATGAGTCGGCAGGCGAGCAAGACAGAATGGGCTGGCACTACTAACCAAGCCCAAATTTGTTCTTCATATTTTATTAAGAATTCAATTTGAATATTATTCTTTATATTCACCCTAAAACAAATAAGGTGAAAATAGCCTCTTTATTATTAATATCTACCAATTATTTATGGTGGGTTATGTTTTTATCTAGATGATCATTGTACCATTGATACATGAATATGGAACTTCCGCTTGAGTAGTTTAAAGAACTCTTGGATGCTTGGATGTAAAACTAAATAAAATAATTAATTAAAAATGATTAAATTATTTTTTTAAAATTTTATCTTTTTAATACTTTAGAAATCTTGATGTACTTATTTTAGATTTTTTAAAATTTTAAAAAATCTTTTAAGTATTTATTTGAGATTTTAAACGCACTTTACTAGTATTCCAAAATTAGGAAATAGGAAAAAGAAAAAAATGAATAATATCACCTAACTCTCATTATATTCCCAAGATTCCCCATACAGCAGCATATACGGTCTCTGAGGGCAACCTAAGCTAGATCTGCCCCTTACCTTCTTCTCCGATTGCTCTTCTTCCTGTTTTTCATCTGGTAACCTTTCTAATGGTTTATCTATCAGCAATTGTTCATATATTTAATATTATTGTGAGTGAAATTTTCAGATCTGGACATATGTCAGAAACCTCATATCATCGATTATATTACAATCGAATATTTTGTTTGTTAAATCGTGATTCATGTTGTTACGATGCTTAGCTCGTGCAAGATCGATCTGCTTTTTGTTTGTCTTATTGTACGCACTGGATATGTGACTGCATGTTTGTTCTTCTTTAATGGTTGAGTTTCTTGGTTTTCTTTTATTCAGTTTCATTACACGAGTGAACTATTTGGGGGAACCTATAATTCATCCGGTAAGGTGTATCTTAATTCTTACACACACTACCCGGATTCAAAGAAAAAGCTCAAATTATACCTTGATGATCTGGATTCATTGTATTGAAACAAACTCAATGGATTTGAGATCCTTGTTCTTTTGTTGACAAATGAAGCCTGATTGATTTATGATTAGCAGAGGAATCAGAAACAATATAGAAATGTTAATATTTTTTTAATTAAATTTCAATGAAATTAGGAAACTTTATTATATTATTAGATGTTGAATGGAATAATATGTCTGATTGTTTTGTTACTACTCTTGGAATCATAAGAAAATGTTAATGTGTGTTCTTACCTCGTTACTTGTCCAGATATACTCAATTTCAGTAATCAAATGGTTGAGTGGTGATGATACCCTTTGTTAATCATGAATTCTATCGCGATGCAACATGCAGAACTCTGCTCTTTTAATCTTAGTCAGTGCATTAGCCCTTTACAGAAATTCCATTTACAAGTTTTCATTGACTTTGATACCATAAAAAGTCTTTTGGTCTTTAATCCATCCTGAGCAGTTCCTCACTTGATCGATTTTCTGGCCTTCACTTAGGGCCCAGTTAAATATGTAAATGATAATGTTAATCCGACTGATAAAGTTGACATGCTTTCTCATTCAACGTGTTCTTATGGAATTTTCTTTCATATTGAAGGGAAGATTCTATAACTACCTTTCATATAATGAGTGGTGCGAAATTGATATGTAGGTGTATAGTAAGGAAGAAAATGGGGTTGTCATTCACCAAGCTTTTCAGCCGGCTGTTTGCCAAGAAGGAAATGCGTATTCTTATGGTGGGTCTTGATGCTGCTGGTAAGACCACCATATTGTACAAACTCAAGCTTGGAGAAATTGTGACGACCATCCCTACAATTGGTAAACTTTTTATGTGATTAGTATGCTGTCAAATTATCTTGGTATACATACTGCTAGTTGTCACTCGTCTTGTGTGATACTTTGATTATGAGTACCACATGGTTTAAGTCATCAAATAATGTTTTACCTCTTTGAAGAAGTAGAATGTTTAAATATGTAAATTTTGTTGATTTATGAATATTCGTAACATTCAGACACCAGCATTATAAGTTCCTTATTATTTTACATATTATTCTTGTTCTTGCTTTTGTTTATTGAAATTTGTGGAATTCAGAAATCCATGTGCATTTTATGTCCTTAAAAATGATTGAACTTGTGGATTTTCCCGTCTTCCGTGCATTGGTTTTTATTTCCTCTGATGTTTGAGTATAATGTCATTTTGTGCTTGCCATCATTCATATGACGATACACAGAATACTCGCTTCTTTGCTACTTGTTGGCTTTTTCCTCCAGGATTCAATGTGGAGACTGTGGAATACAAGAACATTAGCTTCACTGTTTGGGATGTCGGGGGTCAAGACAAGGTATAAGAAGTTTTTTTATGTTTTTTCTTTAGTATCTTCTAAATTCCTTGTGCACTTGAGTTGAACTATGTTCGAGAGCTTTTAAAGTTTTTTAATTTCTTAGTTTGTTATTTGAATATTGAGTAAGGCTACATAGCTAAGCTGCAATTAATTATATTTATGGATAATGTATGTCTTTATTTTTTACTTGTTCCCTTTGTTTTTATGTTTTGTATTTTGAACTTTTGAGAAGTTGTCTGAATGATGTTTCATGATAACGTGAAGATCATTTCCTATTATTTTGATCATCTTAAGCTGCAGTTGACATTCTTTTTTATACTACTAGATCCGGCCATTGTGGAGGCATTACTTTCAGAATACGCAGGGCCTGATCTTCGTGGTTGACAGTAATGACCGAGACCGTGTTGTGGAGGCCAGAGATGAGCTGCACAGGATGTTAAACGAGGTAATAAGATCCCAGCATGTCATTGTTCTTGTAATTTTGGTTAGTTGTTTATTTTTTCCATCTTGTGCAGTTTATAGTTTGTTTAAACCATGAGGTTGGATATATTGCGAATTT